ACCACTTTTTGGTTTACCAGTGAGTCGTAAACCAGTAGCTTTGAATTTTTGTAGAGGTTCCGTGTAGTCGAGATTTTATTCAATATGGACAATCTCTTGATAACCGAGTACCAAACCTTTACCAGCACCATAAACAGAATATCCATCACGGATATTGACAAAGAGAATAACATCTTTTTCTGCTTTTCCATTAGTTAGGGCTGAAAATGGCTTCATATGGATGGAGTTTTTTAACTTCCATTTCAGAGTCTGAACCTGAAGTATCATTGTCGACTTGACGTTTGCTGGATTTATATGAAGCCATTTTCACTGCATTCAAACAAGCACGAATAACATGTTGACAACCTTGAAGTTGGATACCACTCATCTTCTTCACAATTAAAATATTTCGTTGTTTCATCCAGTCTCGAAGTTCTCTTCAAACTCTAAACTTGTGAAACAGTTACTGTTGTGGTTTAATGTTTTTTTCCCAACACTAACCATTCTTAACTATTATTTTCAACAGTGAAAATGGCTTCATATAAATCCAGCAAACGTCAAGTCGACAATGATACTTCAGGTTCAGACTCTGCCATGGAAGTTAAAAAACTCCATCAAGTTATCGCCTTTCCATAAATATCATTGCGCCCTAACTAATGGAAAAGCAGAAAAAGATGTTATTCTCTTTGTCAATATCCGTGATGGATATTCTGTTTATGGTGCTGGTAAAGGTTTGGTACTCGGTTATCAAGAGATTGTCCATATTGAATAAAATCTCGACTACACGGAACCTCTACAAAAATTCAAAGCTACTGGTTTACGACTCACTGGTAAACCAAAAAGTGGTAAATATGAATTCACTCGACAAAAGAGTGATAAAAAACCATTCTCAGCCTCCCGATAAACGTGGTTGCTGGACTTTATCGAATCATCCCATCAATTCGATTTATAATGGAAACAATCATCAGACTTGGTGAAGGTAGACCCTGCCAGATTTATGAATTTGTTACAAAAGTCCAAAAGGCTGTGATGGTCTACAGAAAGGACCTCGAGGAAAATAAAGGATACTGCGAGAAAGCCGATCTCTGTAAAATGGCTTGACAAACTTTTACCATTTTAGTATATTTCCCATATGATAGATGGTGCCATACGTCTATGGAAAGAATCAGCAATTAAGGTCACAATTAACTAGTATAGATGCACTATTAATACATAGATATACAGTCGTGAAAAATGAGTTTCGAATGGTTTTTGACAATTCGCGCAGGTAGTGACTAAAATTAACAGATTAAACAATCAAGATAAGAAAAATGAATGAGTAAATCATCTAAGTCTTATCAATGATGATAAAGATTATCAATTGATTTTAGTATCTAAGTTGCGCGAATGATTAAAAACCATTCGTAACTCATTTTTCACGACTGTATTAAATATAGTTTATTCCCATAGCATTCAATAGAAAAAGGTCATTGTCCGGTCAAAAACTTTGTTCGTAAACAAAATCATCAATTACATTGACGTTTTGACCTCATGAGAAAATTTGCACTAACAATTGCATCTAGGGTCAAAAGCAATTTAAATTACTTGAAATCGGGTCAAACTGTCAAGATAAATAATAACTTGAGGTCAAAAATAAATTATCATGGGTAAATAGGAATTTCGTTAGGTCACTTAGGTAATGTTCAATTTGGGTATAAAAAGCGAAGGGCAATGTTCGAAGTCAATTAGATGTGAGAATGGGTCGAAAGAGGCGAGAAAAGAAAAGCGATACGAAAGGGAAAAATTTTAGATTAATTTTTAAATTGGAGAGAGAGAGAGAGAAAGAGTTAGAGAAATCTCTTAGAGAGAAATTTAAAATTAATAAAAAGATGATTGTTTCCCTCCCCCGATTTGATCTTGATGATCTCCCTGTTCCCCAAGTTATCCAAGTTAATCTAAATGGGCTCATAGTTGAGCCCATTTCACCATCAACATCACCTCCAATCGTCTCTGACGATTTGAATCATCTTTTCAATGATGCAGATTGTGAAGAGGCTCGAAATTTTATGGATTTCGAGCCTTCGTCCAGTGATTTGAACGAGATTTTCATCCTGATGGATGAAAACAAAAAACTATTTCCATCATCGTCACTAAACTTTGCAAACTTTGTCGACAAAGTCGACAAAATAGAAAAGAAGTTCAATCTTCAAATAAAGATTTAAGTTTAAATTGCTCTTTCGAACTTTTATTCGGGTTCGAGTTCTGGTTCTGGTTTTGGTTCTGGTTCTCTTTCTTATCCTTTTTTCTTTCTCATTCTCTTTCTTTTTCTCTTTCTTCTCTTTCTGTGCCAGAGCCTCCATTTTTTAACTACTAGAAGATGAAAATAAAAGTCGATTATTATTATTAGAAACGAATAGGGATGATGCACCCAGATCCTGATTTTTCTCCCGGAAGTGGGAGAAGCTGAACAAAACGGGTGGGGAATATACTTCTGGTGGGAACTTCTACCAGTGGGTGGAAGTATCGTCCGGGTGCATCATCCACTTCCGGTGGGAACAATTTTTATCCGAATTGGGTGAAATTTTTTGCTTAATCATAATGCAGATACCTATTAACTGGAAGTTCCTTCACCACCATCATCACCATCATCCATTAATCAGCAAATGGAAACAATTAGTGCCGCTCTCATGAGCATGAATTCCATTCTGACCATTCTCGTTCAGGATAACAAGACAATTAATGAAAAACTCGATTTGTTGGACTCACGAGTTTGTGACAATGTCGATATCACAGAGGTTTGCGTTGATGAATGTCAGGACATCATCCGCCGGCAGCGAGCACAACATTTGGCCTTGGTCGAATTCCGCAACACTATTCGTGAGGAAATTAGCAATCGGGCTGAATTTGCATTTGAATCTAATCGCCAAGAATATGCAAATTTAAAAGCGTTAATTGTAACCTTTGACCAGTGTAACGGTTATTTGTTAAAAGAGTTAAATAGGTGACCCAAATATTTGATATTGTAGGGAAAATCGGGTTTTATATTGGAAACAGCAATAATTTGTCTTTACTGTGAATTTATCTCCAAGAACCACTGTAAGATTGAGTAACAAACTAAGTATCTGACCAGGACTCGAATTGATGTCAGATACTTCAGAAGATATTTGTCACTTACCCTGTCCTTTGATTAGGATGGCAAAAGCTTTATTCGAATTGATTTCCAGTAATCAAAGTTAGTTGTTATTAAACTGGGAATTTTGATAAACTCGATAAATTAGTTTATTCACCACACAATTAAATTAAGATGCAATACACAATATTATATCATTATAATAGTAGAATTAATGTTGGAATACAAGTATTATATTGATATTCATTTAATCATGATACTTTTAGAACTAACTCCCTACCCCTGTCTCTACCTTCCTTTTATTTTAGTTTTCGTTTTCCTTTTATACCCCTTTCTCCCTGGAGTTTGATATAGAACTATTTCAATCGGAAGTATTTTGATTAACACTTCCGAAATCTTGAATGAATGCACTTAACTTGTAGTGAATTGATTATAAATTGACACTCATGAAGTCTTATGAATTCTAACAATAATTAGTTGTGAACTTTTGCATTTTGACCAACTAATCGGCTGATGCTTCCCTGTTGCGTAACTTGATTGCCCTTACAATATCTTTGATTTTGCAATTTGCAATTTGACTAATTTCGATTTTATGCATAACTTTAATTGGCCATTAAAAAAACTTTGTAATTGAAATAATAAATTGCATCAGTAAAAATAATTAGATTTTATAAATGCAAACGTTAAAAAAATTATTCATTCTGGTTAAACAAAAGAAGAAAAAGCATTAGCAAAAAAAAGACGCAAAAAGAAAGAGAAAAAATTCACTTTACCTAGGTGAAAACAAACAAAAAATTTCACCCAAATCGGGTAAAAATTGTTCCCACCGCAAGTGGATGATGCATCCGGAAGATACTTCCACCCACTGGTAGAAGTTCCCACCGGAAGTTTATCTCCCACCCATTTTGTTCAGTTTCTCCCATTTCCGGGAGAAAAATCAGGATCCGGGTGCATCATCCGTATTCTTTACTACTCATATAATCCTAATTGTGCGTAAATAATTAGAAAAAATTCAATTGTCTGTTTTTCGTCTCTACAGTAGAACAAAATGCTTCATTTGATTTCATTGGCAAGTTTATTCGCAATTTGTATATTACTCTCATCGATAATTGGTGTTAATTGTCATCGTCTTATTCACGGATCAAATGTTAGGATTAAAGATTTTTGAATGTTCAAAAAATGACAGTAATTTTCGAAGAAAACTTTTGTCAAACTGTCTGTCAAGACTTCGAATAATTAGATGATATAAACTATTATCAATGAAAAAGAAATAAGGAGTTCTTAAACTGTTGTTAAAATTGGAATCCAAACATTTCATTCGTGTATTATACATAATTGAATAATATTACAATCGTGTAAGATGAAAATTAACACTAACTATCAACGAGAGAAATATACAAATTAAGGTAAAACTTGTCAATGAAAATGAATGAAACATTTTGTTCGAGAGACGAAAATACCAACAATTTAATAACTATTTATTGCATCAACTGGATATCTAAACTTTTGCTTGTTCTAATTGTGCAAACATAATTAGAATTATATATTCATTGGATAATTATCAACATTTATATTCGTCCTCGAATCCCAATGTTCATAATTTCTTAATGATAATCAAATGGTTATATTTGAGTCGTGATTAAATTAGTCTTTACTCTTGGTGTTGTCGTTGATTCTAAGGACATACTTTTTAGAAAATGTCTCGGTTCAAATTTTTAGAACTCGAGAAAGTTAATTAACCTATTCGATTGATCAATTTCTCGGTTGAATTGAAATTCTTAAATAATCAAGTGTTCATCCGGATTATTGGACTGTTCGATCTTTAATTGAATTACTTTCTCTACCGACACATGACCGTTAATTTGATCTTCCACTTTGTTTTTTTATCCGATTTGAGTAACAATTAGTTAATCTAAACACTTATCGTCACCACGAGATTTGAGTGATGTGAGATAGTCTTAAGCTCGTGTAATGGCTGAGGTTTATGGTCGCCGATGACATTTCACTACAATTGGAATTAAATGAGAGAAAACGGATTCCACATTCGTATGGGGAACAGATTATTCGTCCATCGGGTGAGAAGCACAATTCCTTTATGAAACCTGGTCCAACATTCAGTTCTTCACAGTAATGGGTTAATCTATCAAGATTACGATAGATTCTGGGTGGATCTTGAGTACCGGGTTCTATTTGTCGGTAACTAGCATTTGGTGCTAATATGGTTGCATGAGCTCGACGGTTTAATGTTCTTGCACTGATTATCACCACAGGACTAACGTGAAGATCGGGTACCGAGTTGGAAGAAGATGATGATGTAGAAGTTGTTGTTGTTGTTGTTGTTGTTGTGAGAGTTATTGGTGCTGTTGAAGAGGAAGACGCTGCTGTTGATGCAGAACTTGAGTCTTGGGTTGACGATAATGTTGATGACTGATTGGAGAGGCGACTATTTAATGCTTGAGCAATGTTTCTTGTACCACTGGATCCGGATTCTGTCACGTCTGAAGATAAATTGGTGGACATGATTGTGACTCGAGTACTTGGATGGCTAACAAATATACCTTGTTTAGGTACATCGATAGGAACAGTTTGATAAGGCCATTTATCACCTAATCAATATACGAAAGTTAATAAATTAGTTAAACGAAAGTTAATAAATTAGTTAAACGAAAGTTAATACGTTAATTAATATTTTTAAAGCAAATGTATTGGCGAAAGGAAAGAATAATATTAGAAAATGAAATATTACCTTGAATGTCATGGACACAAGTCCATTCAGAGTTTTCATCCCTACTTATATTACGAGATATGATTGACCAGTTATGTGGGTGGACATCAAGTGAAAAAATAGAATGCGATTCATTCTTGGGCGGAAAATCTGAAATCAACTCAATTCTGTTACGTCGAGTAGTAAAAAGTGGATTAAACCAGGAGCCAAAGTCAAATCCACATGAATGTCGCTTTTGCATGAGCCGATAGAGATCAGATTGGAAACCAGCTAAATCTTTTTCCAATTTTTCTAATCTTAAATCATGAATAATCATAATGTATCCCTCTGAGGTACAGATTATCATTTTTGAGCTATCATGGGTTAATCTCATTCTCATTAGGCAGGAAAGAAATAGAGGCTTTGTAAAATGAATTGGATTCCCGTTTGGATGATCAAATGATGTTGCATCATATTTGTTGATATCCCAAATGTAGATACAACCATCATATCCAGAGCTAAGTAAGGTTCGAGTTCGTGTATCATATTCAACATTCTTAACCCAATAAGAGTGTCCCCTCAATGTCCGTAATTTAGATGACAGATTCCTGAGATTCCTATTCCATAATGCAATAGTACAATCATCTGAACAAGTCGATCATCTAAAGTAAAAAAGAGTAATAAGTTACTACCACTGTATTTTCTTTTGGTTTAAAGAGTTTCAATCAACCAATTGCTCCAGAAATTCTATGCACCAAAAGTAAAGTCAAATTTAATTAAGATCTTAATCTAATAATTTTATCCTCATCAAGAAATCGTAAACATTGGGATTACAAGATGAAAACAAATCTCAATACTTATCCGATTAATATAATCCTAATTGTGTTTCCACAATCAGAACAAACCACAGTTTAAATATCCAATTGATACAATGAAGAGTTGGATGTTTGTAATATTTTCCTCTTGAACAAAATGTTTCATTTAATTTGTTTAGCAAGTTTTTCTTTAATTTGTATATTTCTCTCATCGATAATTATTGTTGATTGTCATCTTCTTATACACGAATCAAATGTTTGGATCCCAATTTTCAACAACAGTTTACTAACTCCTTATTTCTTTTACACTGAAAATCATTTTTACCCTACTAATTATTCAAGTCGAGTTCTCAACACGGACCCTAACGCAGTTGGTGAAGAAAGTAGCGTGACTCGTTTTGCTCCAGCTTATTCTCGTAGACCCAATAGCTTCATATTGCAAAGCAAGAGCAGCGCCGATTTCGCTCATTATGATTATATTCCAGAAAATGTTTTTGAACTGATAGCCGGGCCCTTTTCTGCAGGATCACTAAATGCTCATCGGTGGCTCTCCATTAGTGATTCAATTTATGCAATCGGAATGATGCCAGGATCCAATATAACGAATTCGCGAGCTAATTTATTCGCATTTGTTCAATCTAATGGCAATTCCATTAATTGGACGATTTATGGACATAATCCCGTCGAATCCACCGTTCGCTCGTTTCAAATTCTTCAAACCTTCAAGTTTAAGGAAAACTTTTACTCGTTCGGCCTTCTAACAATTGACCTCCTAAGGCCAGTCTACTTCATCTCTCAGATATCAAACTTTTTAATAAACCTGGAAGTTGACAGGTTACATAGATATTTTTACTCTGAACTTCATTCGATTTCATTTTATGAACGTTATGGTCCGATTGATAAAGTTCGATTTGTTGATTCTTTTTCAATCATGAGCGATGGATCTTCATTTTCTTTGATCACATTCTCTTATAATCGAAATAGTAGCGATCATATTGAAGTGATTCCATTAAATTCGATGCTAAATGACTTTGAAGGGCCCGCTCACGGTTGTCAAACTGCGGAAACTTTTTGGAAAGTTGATCTGTTCAACGAATCTGGTCCAGAGTGTAACTCTTTTTCCCAATCAGCCAATATACAAGCATTGTCAATACGTAAAGACTTCACAGTGTATCATCTTACAGGTATTCTAACGGTAAACTGGACTCGAATAATTGATTTTGTTCCATTGGCTCTCGATGCGACTCCAGGTTATGTTTTCCTCGTTCTCTCCTCTAACAGTGACGTCTCCAGATATCGATATTCAATTCACTTTGTCAATGAAAATTATTCTGTCTTACCCCACCCGATCGAAAGGACGTTCGATCATCGTAATATCAACAATCTAAATCGAACAATATCACAAATTTATTATCACGGTTTTAATCATCCACGAGTCATAATTACATTTAATCAATATTCTTACACCGACTCAATTATTTTGTGTCCATTACTAAACAATTCGTGTATTGATTGTTTTACAACCAAAGTTTATAATTCAAATGGTAATTTTCTTCGATATTGTCAATGGACACGAGGAAATTCATTATCATCGGGCGAATGTTCAATCGGTGCTACAAATTCTACTGATTCGAGGTAAGAATTTAAATATTAGTTTATTTATATCTTTCCTATTTATTTGTTTTATTCTAATCTATCATCTTTTTTTACAGAGAAACTACACTCACGAATCAAACAGTAAATCCATGTTTCAGTCCAACTAATATCCAAGCAGACTACGTTTCTGGTGAACCAACATTTGATTTGAACTTCGATCTCCTTGGTTACCATTCAAAATATTCCCATATTTTCCCTTTGACCTTCACTTTAGTCCACAATGCAACATACTCCTTTATTGAAAGTTGTTCTGTTGTTAATTATAATCAGTCAAAGGTTTATCTCAACTGCAATCGGGTGAATTCTGGTCAATATCGATTATCGATTCTTCTGGTTAGACGACAAGGTCCATTTCAAACACTAGAACTTGACAACCTGATCACTTATAGTGATTCTTTTACCATCAGTTCACTGCCACTTTTTCATGTCCTGTTGAGAATATTACTTATTTGTACTATTATCATCTCTATAATTGTATTTTTTTTATTTTATACTCGTCGTACTGTGGCCAGAAAAGTTCTGGACACATTGGACAAGATAAAAAATCCTCCGCCCAAAGGCTCGCTACCTGACATAAGGAGCAAACATAAATCGTCATTAGATTCCAAATCTAAATTAGTAGTAACTCCAACAGTCCATCGTAAATCTAAATCAGTACCATTTTTGAAAGTGCATTCCCGTGAATTATCCAGCAAAAAAAGTAAATCAATTGATTTAAAAGTTTCCAAGAGCGATCATACAAAATCCAAGACCAGTGTAACTCTCAAACAATCAAAAGAAATGAGAAATGAGTCTCTTAAAGCAAAATCTAAACGATAAAAGGTCCATTTCGATTTACATTGGAGATTTGTCTCTTGTTAGGCCAATTTTTACTCCAGTAAATTATACGATCGATGTTCCTCTATATTACCATCAACATCGAGCGAAAGATCAGATTATTTAGTTCCTCTAATTGTGACAAGCAGCGTGATTATCATTAGCAGCGTTCTCTTTCACTAGTTTTTTTTGTTGTCTCAAATAATTAATAGTAATCATGAATAAATAAAATTATAATTAACTATCATTTTCTTTTGGTTTAAAGAGTTTAAATTAACCAATTGTTTCAGAACTCCAGATTAAAGCCTACGAAAAGTTGAGACTATTTAATGGGATTACAAGATCAAAATAAATCGCAATACTCATCCGACCAATATAATCCTAATTTTAACTCTCCTGATGAAGCGACATTGAATTTGAACTTCGATCTCCTTAGTTACCATTCAAGATATGAAGATATTTTACCTTTGATCATCACTTTAGTCGACAGAACATTTTCTTTTATTGAAAATTGTTCTGCTGTGAATTATAATCAGTCAAAGATTTTCCTCGATTGCGATCAAGTGAATTCTGGTCAATATCGATTATCAATTTTTATGCTTAGACGACGAGGTCCATTTGAAATACTAGACATGGACAACTTGATCAATTATAGTGACCCTTTCAAAATCGGTTCACTCCTTCTTGAATCTTCATTTTTTTATATTCTGTTGATAATATTATGAGTTTTCGCCTTTATTATCTCAGTGATCGCTCTTGTTGCATTCAATTATTTATTATTTTATTCGTTGTATTTCAAAACCGTCACAACACCCAAACAGAAAAATAAAACGAGAAATGAGTCGATTGAAATAATAAACGATAAAAGTCCCATTGTTGATATTGAAAACAAAAACCCGGAAGAAACAATAAAAAATTAGCCCAAAAAGCGCTATGGTTTACTCACATCAGTTGACGGCAACTTCGAACGAATTAAATTATCGAATTTGAAAGTTCGTTTTCATTATGAATACTCATCTGAGTCAATTGATTTACAGTTCGACAATCAACATGTCTCAAATTACTCTAGATTCGGAAAGTTACAGCCTAATTTTACTTAATAAACCCTGCTCGATACCGATGGGCATAATAGTTCGCTATGAGGCCGTTAGTTTATCTAAGCAAGTCAGCTCCAATTCCGAAGACGAGGAATTCCATGTCTTAATTCAAATTGAACATCGATTTCATTAATGATGAGAAATTGGGACCTTGGTGCATTTGTATTAGATAGAAAGTATTCATTATGGTGATTGGAATCGAATAATTGATTTCATTCCATTTGCAATCCCTCAGAAAATCCAAGTTGAATTCTGAGATTCAAGATAAATACTTATTAGTCACAAAAGGTAATGAAATTTGAAATTTCACAAAACATATTCATCAGTTAGGTTGAAACTTTCGAACTTCAAAATGAACAGTTCATGTTACCTTTTTCTCCATTTCTAAGATTTTTTATGCGAGCGAATTAAGGACAAGACCGAGTTTTCTTCGGTCAAGTTTTATGTTCACAGGCCAGATATTCACTTATAGGTACATTTGTTGGCCAACAAATGTACCTTGTTAAATTACTTTTATGGCAGGCCATCAAAGTAATCGAGTCACAATTATTTCCACCAATTTATTTCAAGATTTGACAAAATTCGGATCCATTGGTATAATACATATGTATGAGAAAAATTGCTCGAGCATTAAACAGTTGCCTCTCCAATCAGTCATCAACATTATCGTCAACCCAAGACTCAAGTTCTGTATCAACAGCACCAATAACTCGGTACACGGTCTTGACTTTAGTGCTGTGATAATCAGTGCAAGAACATTAAACCGTCGAGCTCATGCAACCATATTAGCACCAAATGCTAGTTACCGACAAATTGAACCCGGTACTCAAGATCCACCCAGAATCTATTGTAATCTTGATAGATTAACGTATTACTGTGAATGTTAGACCAGGTTATGATTTCCTTTAGATTTAAATTGTTTAGATTGATTAAAAGTTTTCTTAAGTTGTAATCACGATTGGATCTTCAAACACAAAAACCAACACTAAAGACTAATGTAACTTAGACTTTAAAAATAAACATTTGGATTCGAAGACAAAACTCAATAATTATCCAATGAATATAATCCTAATTGTATTTTGGCAGCAAAAAAAAACCTCAATATAAATATCCAATTGATCCAATGGACAGTTAACTGTTTGTATTTTCATCTCTCAAAATGTTTCATTTAATTTCATTGACAAGATTTTCTTCATTTTGTATATTTCTTTCATGGATACTTGGTGTTAATACTAATCTTATAATCCACGAATCAAATGTTTGGATTCCAATTTTTAACAACAATCTATCAACTCCTTATTTCTTTGCTGTTGGTGATAGATTTTACTTAATGTCAACTCAAATTCTCAACACGGACCCTAACGCCGTTGGTGAACGAAGTAGCGCGACTTATTTCACACCAGCTCATTCTTACTGTCCGCAATACGATCAATGCCTTTTGCACTTAAAGAGTGGATCACCAATGTTCGCAATCTATAATATGTTCCCCGAAATTATGTTTGTGTCTTCTCACACCGATCCCCCAGTCAACATACTGCATCCTTTGATTCGCTTCAATAGCTCATCGCATGCAATTGGATGGGAAATCAGTTATCAATGGGTGGAGCCCCCACTAGGTGTAACTTTATTTTCTACTGTGCAATATTTTGGAGATTTTAGTTCAAGTTACAATCAGCAAATCTTTCGAACAATCGAACCCACCGTTCGCTCGTTTGAAATTTTTCACAGTTTCAAAGTCGATGAAAAAATTTACGCGTTCGGCAAACTAACATTGTCTAGCCTTAATGTATCGATTTGCTTTGTCTCTCAGCTATCAAACATTATTATTAACCAAAACGTTGATCATTTTAACTACAAAGAACTTCGTTCGATTTCGTTTCACCCGAATTATGGTGAAATTCAAAAAGTTCGATTTGTGAATTCACCTTCTCTCATGAGCAATGCTTCTCTTTCGAGATTCTCCTCTCTCATTGCAGTCTCTTACTATCGTTATACGATGAGAGATCGTATTGTAGTTATTCCATTTAATTTAATAATTAATGACTTTGAAAGACAATTGGACGGTTGTGATACTACAGACAATTTTTGGGATCAGAATATTTACACTCGGTGCCTTCGTATAAGAGACGCACAAGTATGGATGATAAGAAGTGAGTTCGCGCATATGGTTATTTTAAATGTTCTTAATGGTACTTGGACTCGAATAATCGATTTCGTTCCATTGGCTCTCGATGCGACTCCTGGTTATGTTTTTCTCGTTCTTTCTTCTGACAGTTTCCTATCCATATATCGATATTCAGTCCACTTTTTGGATGAAAATTATGCTGTAACGCACCACCCGATTGAAAGGGTGTTCAATCATCGTAATATCGGTAATGTAAATCGAGCAGTATCACAAATTTATTACTACGGTATTAATCATCCACGAGTCATAATTAATATTAATCAGTATTCTTACACTGAATCAATCATTTTGTGCCCATTTCTGCTTAATTCATGTCTTGATTGTTTTACAACACAAGTTTATGATCGGAATGGTTTTTTTTTTCGATATTGTCAATGGCAAGCAAGTTCATTAACATCGGGTATATGTTCAATCCCTGATTCTCAGTCCCCTGAACGCAGGTAATGATATAAAATATATAATAATAATAATAAATTGTTTCTTCTCGTACATGTTTATCTAATTCTAATTTATCATCATTTCAACAGAAACGGTACATTTATACAAAATCCATGTTTTAATGTAACTAACGTTCGGATAGTAAACTACAGGCCTAACAGAACGAACTTTAATTTGACCTTCAATCTCATTGGTTTCCATTCAAGATATGCAGATATTTTCCCATTGACTATTACTTTAGTCCACGTAACAATACCTTCCATTATTAGTCGCTGTTCTCCTTTTCGGTATGATGGGTCAACGGTTTATATCAACTGTGATCGAGTGGATCCTGATGCATATAGATTACATATCGTTATGCCTAGACGACAAAGTGCTTCATTAGTAAACGATAGGAATGAAAATTTGTACACTTATAGTTACAATTTCGTCATGGCTCCACCTCCTCCACCTCCTCCACCTCCTCCACCTCCTCCTCCTCCACCTCCTCCACCTCCACCTCCACCTCCTCCTACTTATCCTCCACCTCCTCCATCCCCCCCTCCTACTTATCCTCCTCCACCTCTTTCTACTTATCCTCCACCTCCGACTCCTGAATCTTCATCTTCAGCAAGCCTGTTGGTAATATTACTAACTTGCTCCTTCATTATCTCTATGATTGGGATCGTTGTATTTTATATTGCGACCAGAAAACTGAAGGACTCAATAGACAAGACAAAAAATCTTCCAGCCAAAGGATCGCTACTTGACGAAAGAGTCCGTTATAAATCATTATTAACTTTCAAATCTTTATCAGCATTCATACCAAAGATCTATTCCCGTGAATTGATCAGCAAACAAAGCAATCCAATTGACGCAAAAGTCCCCAAGAGAAACCCTTCAAAAACCAAAACCATCGCAACACCTAAACTGTCAAAAAAAATGAGAAAAGAATCTTCTAAAACAAAATTTAAAAAATGAAAGATTCATTCTTGATTTTATCAGAATGATCGATATCCTAACCATGTTAAAAGAAAATTAGTACAATTTCCATTTCCGTATATTTCAGAATTGAATTGAATATTATCAAAAACCCAAAATCGAATTGATCGAATTCTCTCTTCGATAAGCACTTCGAAAACTATCTACGACTTTTATGTAACCGATAGAACTTATTGGTTTTGTTAACAGAAATTCACCAAGAAAACGAAGTGATTTATTTGAAAATTAAATTTTGCTCTCATTTAATTGTCATTTTAGATCCCCAACTTTGTGATTCTGTAAATTTTAAATTTCCAAAAACAACATATTCATGAATTAGGTTGAATAAAAACTTCTCGAACTTTCGAAATGAACCTTTCATGTTATTTCCATTTCTAGAACTGTTACTTTTAGCGAGCTAAATAGAGAAAACACCGAGTTTTCTTTCATCGTCTCAGAAAAGTCGATAACCAGTAGTTCAAAATAAAGAATCAAGAGTAACAAATACAAGTATCGTACTGTTCATATTAAACGCAATTAAATCAAGAACGAAAACAAAATTTGTCAATGGAAATTATGACGATAATTGCAATTATTCAGTCAAACTCAAAAGTTTGAAAACGATAAAAATGATTCAATTAAACTCGAACCAATTAGAATTAATTTCTGATTTTTAACCAACAAAATTGACCAGAGTTAGTTGATTAATTTTCCATTTCTATAGTAAACCGAATTCACATTCAATCTGTAATTTGTGTTAATCATCAAGTTAATAAATGAATCTTAACTAAGACCAACATAAGACCCAAATATAACATTGTCATTGATCATGGAAAGATGAACATTTAGGATTCGAGGACGAAAATAAATGTCGATAATTATCCAATGAATATAATCCTAATTGTGTTTCCACAATCAGAACAAACCACAGTTTAAATATCCAATGGATACAATGAAGAGTAAATTGTTTGTAATATTTTCCTCTCTCGAAAAAAATGTTTCATTTAATTTCATTGACAAGATTTTCTTCATTTTGTATATTTCTTTCATGGATACTTGGTGTTAATACTAATCTTATAATCCATGAATCAAATGTTTGGATTCCAATTTTTAACAACAATCTATCAGCTCCTTATTTCTTTGCTATTGGTGATAGATTTTACTTAATGTCGACTCAAATTCTCAACACGGACCCTAGGGCAGTCGGTCAAGAAAGAAGCGCGACTTATTTTACACCAGCTTATTCTTATTCGCCGGTGCTCAATCAATACCATTTGCACTGTAAGATCAGTACTTCAACGTTCGCGAAATATCACAATGTTCAATTCTTCATCGAGCTCATTGGTGAGTATACCAGTCACACAATCTACGAACTTAATCGTTGGATTCGCTTGAATAGTTCATCGTATGCAATTGGATTGAACACTGGCTCGACAAACTTTCCATCATTTGTAACGTTATTTTATTTTGTTCAATTTTTTCGAGATGACAGTTTAGAGTACAGTCATGGTACTTTTACTTCAATCGATCCCAACGTTGAATCGTTTCTAATTATTCACAGTTTCAAGGTCGATGAAAAAATTTACGCATTCGGCGTTCTAACATTTACTAACCTTGGAAGACCAGTTAACTTTATCTCTCAGATATCAAATATTGAAATTAACCAGGGAATTGCTTATTATAACTACAAAGAACTGCATTTGCCTACATTTGACTATTTTTATGGTCCAGTTGAAAAAGTTCGATTTGTAAATTCATCTCATCTCATGAGCGATGGATCTTCATTCTCTTTGATTGTGATCCTTTATTATCTTAATGAAAGAAATCATATTGTAGTGGTTCCATTTAACTCGATAACCAATTACTTTGAAAGTCACATGCAAAGTTGTCCACCTACATCAACTTTTTGGGATCGTGATGTTTACAATTATAATGGGTGTCTTCGTGTAAGCCAAAGAGACGGAGTAGAAGTATCTATGATGAGAGGGACGTTGCCAGGTACTATTCTTTCAGGTATTCTAAATGATACTTGGACTCAAATAATCGATTACGTTCCATTGGCTCTCGATGCGACTCCTGGTTATGTTTTTCTCGTTCTTTCTTCTGACAGTTTCCTATCCATATATCGATATTCAATTCATTTTGTTGATGGAAATTTTTCTACTATGACCCACCCGATTGAAAGGGTTTTTGCTCATCGTAATATCTTTAATGTAAATCGAGCAGAATCACAAATTTATTACTATGGTTTCACTCATCCACGTGTGATAATTACACTTAATCAGTATACTTACACTGATTCAATTATTTTGTGTCCTTTTCTAAACAATTCGTGTATTGATTGTTTTACAACCCAAATCTATGACCAAGATGGTAATTATGTTCGATATTGTCAATGGACACGAGGAGATTCAATCACATCGGGTGAATGTTCAATCGGTGATGTTAATTCAACTGATTACAGGTAATCATTTAAATAGTCTCGTCATCATTAGTCTCTTCTCTTTCCTATTTGTTTGATTTAATTCTAATTTATCATCATTTCAACAGAAACGGTACATTTATACTAAATCCATGTTTTAATGTAACTAACGTTCGGATAGTAAACTACAGTCCTAACAGAACGAACTTTAATTTGACCTTCGATCTCATTGGTTTCCATTCAAGATATGCAGATATTTTCCCATTGACTATAACTTTAGTCCACTTAACAATACCTTCCATTATTAGTAGCTGTTCTCATGTTCGGTATGATGGGTCAACGGTTTATATCAACTGTGATCGAGTGGATCCTGGTACATATAGATTACATATCGTGATGCCTAGACGACAAAGTGCTTCATTAGTAAACAATAGGAATGAAAATTTGTACACTTATAGTTACAATTTCTTCATCGGTCAACCTCCTCCTCCACCTCCTCCTCCACCTCCTCCTCCACCTCCTCCTCCACCTCCTCCTCCACCTCCTCCTCCACCTCCGACTCCACCTCCGACTCCTCCACCTTCTTCACCTCTTCCACCCTCGACTCCTACTTATCCTCCATTTTATCCTTCACCTCCGACTCCTGAATCTTCATCTTCAGCAAGCCTGTTGATAATATTACTAACTTGCTCCTTCATTATCTCTATCATTGGGATCGTTGTATTTTATATTGTGACCAGAAAACATAAGGACTCAATAGACCAGACAAAAAATCATCCAGCCAAAGGATCACTACTTGACCAAAGAGTCCGTTATAAATCATTATTAACTTTCAAATCTCTGTCAGCATTCATACCAAAGATCTATTCCCGTGAATTGATCAGCAAACAAAGCAATCCAATTGACCCAAAAGTCCACAAGAGAAACCCTTCAAAAACCAAAACCATCGCAACACCCAAACCAAAAAAAAGAAGTAGAAATGATTCTCTCGAAACATTATCTAAATTCTGCTAACTATGAGTCCAATTAAATTATCTAATACTTTAATTGATGTCCACCATTTTATGATTACCTCTAATTGTCATGGAAAAATTATGATAGTCTAGAAAGTCACTTTTTCGAGAAAGTTTGAGAAATTGAATGAGCGATAAAATCGATAAGATCCAAGATTTTATTCTAATAACCAGTAGTTCAAAATAAAACATCAAGAGTAACGAATACAAGTGTCAATCCAAAAGTTATCAGGAGAGACCATTTGAAATCGGAATGATATTAGAGTTCAATATAAACCGTTCTCGGGCAAATATATTGATATTTGTCATATTGTTGTCATGTTTGATATTGTCAATGGATACGAGGAAGCTCATTATCATCGGGTGAATGTTCAATCTGTGATACAGATCATCCTGATTCAAGGTAATAATTTAAATAGAATTTAATTCTAATCTATCATCTTTTTTACAGAGAAACTACACTTACGAATCAAACAGTAAATCCATGTTTCAGTCCAACTAATATTCAATTAGACTAACGATCCTGATGAACTGACATTTAATTTGAACTTCGATCTCCTTGGTTTCCATTCAAGATATGAAAATATTTTTCCTTTGACCATCACTTAAGTCGACAGTCGTTTTCCTTTATTGAAAATTGTTCTGTTGTAATAAGGCAAAGATTTTCCTCGACTGTGATCAAGTGAATTCTGGTCAATATCGATTATCTATCTTTTTGCTTTGAAACATTTGAGACATTGACGACTTGATCAATTATAGTGACCCTTTCAAAATCGGTTCACTCCCTCTCGAATCTTCATTTTTTTATATTCTGTTGATAATATTACGAGTTTTCGCCTTTATTATCTCAGTGATCGCTCTCGTTGTATTCCATTATGTATTATTTTATTCGTTGTATTTTAAAACCGTCACAACATCCAAACAGAAAAATATAACGAGAAATGAGTCGATTGAAATAATAAACGACAAAAGTTCCACTGTTGATATTGAAAACAAAAACCCGGAAGAAACAATAAAAAATTAGCCCAATAAGCGCTTTGGTTTACTCACATCAGTTGTCATCTCACATCGATGTACTTAAACAAGGTACATTTGTTGGCCATCCAAGTAATCGAGTCACAATCATGTCCACCAATTTATTTCCCCAATCAACAGTTTTGACTCAAAATGTAGTCAAAAAAAGGTGTCAGGTAACCACTTTTACTCAATTTTGAGTCAACGAGTTTTTGAGTAAAAATTGAGTAAAAATTGAGTGAAAATTGAGTGAATTTGCATCACAAAAACAAAAATTTTAGACTTTGAAAATTACAAGATTTCAAAATCAAAATTAAAATTATCAATGGATAAAAACCGAAATCGCGAGATCTTTAGATTTTAGTCTGATTGCAAATTATTCACAACTTTGTGAATAAAATCTTTGCATGTGAATATTTTCTAACCGCGATATATTCCTTGCAAATTTGTTGAATTCATTCAGTTTATTGATAATCAATAAATATGTAGAATTCAATTTCAGTTGCAAAAAAATCTTTATTAATGAATCAGAAAGAGATTCTAAATTTGTCGGAATAATCCAATTCTACTAAGTTTGAATATCTTCTAGAATGTCAAGATCAAATGATTTTGAATAAACTCCACTTTGCTCATCTTCATCTTGATCTTCAAGATCATTTCCTTCCTCGCCATCCTCGGGATCAGAATCTTCTGTTGATTTTGATTTTCTATTCAATGAACCCAAAATCCTGATCAACCTTTGCCGTACATCATTCAATTCTTTTTCAGTATATTCTTCCACGCCAGATCTACGGAATATGTGATCTATAATTGAAAAAAACGTTGTTAATGTTGAATTATATTCTATTTTTGACTTTAATCTGATATTTTTATTCATTTACCTTGAAATGAATTGATTCTTGATTGTCCAAGCTCAGGATCAATTTCACCTTCATAAGGCTTTGAGAAAGGGTCTGCAAATGCGAAAACAAAAGCCAATGGTACCGAAGTTGAATTCTCGCCTCCATTTGTCACGAATTTATATGAATGAAGTTGTTCATTTTTATATGATTTTTTTCCAAGAGTTACATTTTTGTAATAAGATTCGGGAAAAGCTGTTTTAATAATTTGATAACCAATGGCTGGGGCATTAGGCTTGGCTAATCTTAAAGCATTTTTATATTTGTCCAGGGGCAATTCCAACAGCCCTTCAATGAAAATTTGATTCTGGAAAAAATTAATGAGAATCGTTAATTTCATTGAAGCTATAAATAAATTGAATTGAAATACCTTTTCTTTGACTTTGAAAGTTTTGTCAATTGGAACCTTATAAGAGCTTGAATGAGTTATTCTGTACTTTTCTCTGATGAAATCGTACATTGTATCGATAGTATCCACGACTTTTCTCAAAACAATACCAGTAGCATCTAATTCAGATAGAATGACTTTCTTTCTTTTCAACTCTTCAATTTGATCATGAATATTTTCAACCATGAGCTTTCTCTTTTCTTTGGTCTCTGCTCCTCGTTGAACCACGATTTCACCAGAATCAGTCTTAGTTTTCGAAGCTTTTATCACTCCACATTCTTTTTCTTTTTCTTGAAAAGATTCTGATGATTTCAATTTTTGTGAATCTCGCGGTTTCGTCAAATCTACAAGATCTTGTCTTTTATCGCCAAGAGCAGCATCTTTCTCAACAATTCGTTCAATCATTGTTGTAGCTTGAGCGATGGAATTTTCTTTAAACAGATCTTTCAACTCACTTTCATTCATATTTAGGTAAGGAAGAGAATCATCTTGGAGAGCAGAGGCATCATGATCAATTTCCAGGATATTTTCAGAATAGTTGATTACTTTTTTCAGTGATTTCCAGAAAGGACATTGTTTCAAATTAGAAACCAAAGATAATCGTAAAGCTGGAAAATCATCTAGATATTGATGAGAGAAAAGAGAAAATTTAACACTTGATTGGCAACTATAATTTGATTAACTCACCCCCAACAGCAACCATTCTGAAAGTTATCTCCTTATTTTTGACCTTTGTTTTGAAGAGATTCAGAGTTTCATCTTGAAAAAAATCAGCAGTTAAAGAAATTCCAATTTGGTCGAGTTTTGATGCTGAAACAGAAACTAAAATAGGTTGATCCATATTTCTTTTGTTTTCGTCAAGAATCAAGGGTAGTATAATTGCATATATCTTTTTTCCAATTGCATCGGGATTTTTTCGAGGTTGTGGAGTTAAACCACCGGTTGATGTACTAGGAGCGGTGAGATCCTTGGCTTGTGATGGCTTAGTTGTAGCAGCTGAACATGAACTAGAACGAAAGGTTTGCACAGGGTTGATTGGTTATTTCACAGAATTGAAATTATTCACAAGACTCTTTTTAACTTTGCTTCTAAGCATATTCAAAAATAATTAGAATTAACAAAAAATAAGTAGATAAACGAAATCAATAATTTGCAAAAATATAAACTGTATTGTTGAGATTGAAAAATATTCAAAAGTATTTGGTAAGTATCAAAAAGTTAGTGACTGTGAGATTGAGAGTAACAAAATAAATGAGGGAAAAGAGAATCAGGTTTCGAGTTGAGTTGATTCAACAAATTCTAACCAATGAGAATAATTTTTGAGATTTGCAATTAAAATCGCAAGACACTGTAAAAATTTGCTCTTCATCAAGGTGATTGATTTTCTCCTTGATTGGAAAAAATTTCGACATAATTTGAAAGTGAAAACGTAGAAAAAAATAGAAAAATTTGAAGAGATCAACAAAGGTAAATAAAGGTAAAATGTAGAGAGGGGGAAACTATTTCTTCACTCTACTCTGTAACTAAGTATATAATTGATTGGAATGTTGTATAATTGAAATTGTAATTTTCTAAATGTAGATTCAATATAAAAACCTGATTCTCTCATTTTCAACACAATTAAGCTTGATTTTCATCTTTGCCCCGTTTACTTCGAGCTGCGAGCATTTCCTCGATTTCCTCGTCTGTCAAATCCATCCAACGAGGTCTTGATGATGACTGACTAATTTGTGAGTCTTTCTTTGTTGCTGGAATATCTCGAGATTTTGTTGATATAATCGTTGAAGTTGAATCTGTATCTTCATTTCCAGACAAAGAAACTTTCAACTTTTTATCAGATTCATTGACCTCTTCCTCACTCTGGCGCTTCGGTGTTGAGCTTTGAACAGGGCTGAGATAATTTTCACTTAGCGAAATTTCTGATGAAACGAATTCACCATCAGTGTAAGTAGAGATTGATCCATCTTTTTTTGGGTGCTGTCTGGTCTTAGAATATTGATCAGGTTGAAAAGATTCAATAGCATGAGATGATTCTGGTTTAGTAGTGGTTAATTTGGTAATCACTGAATCTCTTGATGAATCGGTAATATCATCTATAGCACCACTTACATTTTTAGCGCCATCTCCACGATTAATGGTCGGCTTATCTTTGACTTGCAGTGGAATAGCTGAAACTCTGTTTTCAAAAAGAGTCAACTGTTCAGCGCTTAAACTTGCAAGTGGGAGAGGTTGAGTCAAAGCCATTCCTTCATGGACTGATTTTTGTTCGGATGAACAACTTTGAATTTTTTCTGGTAAATCATCTGGGACTGGATGATCTTGAATTTTTTCTGGTACATTTTGTGGGTCACAAATTTGTTCAAAAACAATTGTTTCTTGTTGTTCGGAGGTTAGAATCCTCTGAAAATCAAAGTAATATAAATTAGAATTTGGGAATCAGAATAAACAAATAAACTTACCAGCCGTAACTACGATCATTGCCTCGATAGGCTTGACCCCATCCACGCCAACATGAACTAGATTATTAGTATGGATTTTATTAAATTTCACACCACACGGAATCAATTTTGTCTTGATTTTGAACCCAAATGGTAGAATTTTTTCATTTTCGGCTGAATCAATCAGCCTTGAAACACAAACAATTAAGCTTTCGTCTTCCATTAGACGACAAATTGTTGCTAGCAGAGTTCGCTGGTTTTTGATGGCGCTAACCTTTTTGTTTTTTCGTTTTAAAATCTTCTTTGTATCAATCCTGATACGTTTGAACATAAAACTTATAAAAAAAAGTCTAATATCACACAAATTTTATAAAAAAAACTAATTAACAAAAACAATTAACAAAAACAATTAACAGTTTGAATAAAAAGCACAGTCTCAATGAGACGAAACATGTGAATTAAATGCTCTTTATGCTCTTTTAAAGAGAATAGAATTTAAGCTTTTTTAGAATTTAAGCTTTTTATGCTTTTTTTAGCTTTTTTTATGCTTTTTATGCTTTTTCCCCAATGAAAAAGCATATTTAGAATAGAACAAATAAATTCTATTCTAAATTTTCTCTTATCTTATCTTTTGTTTCCTTTTGTGATTAAAATCAAGTTTCCTTTTCCTTTCTTGATAAAATTATCATCTGTTTATATTTATTTGTATTTAAATCTTTTTGTAAACAAAATGAACTCATCAAAAAGATCAATTAATCGTTTAAAGCGTAAAAAACAGGAAGTAGATAATGAAAACTACCTGTTCAACCTTCCTGATGTTGAAACCTCAGAAAATGTTCATTCACTCAGTGAAATCTCTTTGCCTTTTTATGAAAGTGGATTAAATGAAAATGTTTTACCTTCATCACCATCATCACAATCATCATCATTATCATCACTTAATGGTCGGCTTATCTTTGACTTGCAGTGGAATAGCTGAAACTCTGTTTTCAAAAAGAGTCAACTGTTCAGCGCTTAAACTTGCAAGTGGGAGAGGTTGAGTCAAAGCCATTCCTTCATGGACTGATTTTTGTTCGGATGAACAACTTTGAATTTTTTCTGGTAAATCATCTGGGACTGGATGATCTTGAATTTTTTCTGGTACATTTTGTGGGTCACAAATTTGTTCAAAAACAATTGTTTCTTGTTGTTCGGAGGTTAGAATCCTCTGAAAATCAAAGTAATATAAATTAGAATTTGGGAATCAGAATAAACAAATAAACTTACCAGCCGTAACTACGATCATTGCCTCGATAGGCTTGACCCCATCCACGCCAACATGAACTAGATTATTAGTATGGATTTTATTAAATTTCACACCACACGGAATCAATTTTGTCTTGATTTTGAACCCAAATGGTAGAATTTTTTCATTTTCGGCTGAATCAATCAGCCTTGAAACACAAACAATTAAGCTTTCGTCTTCCATTAGACGACAAATTGTTGCTAGCAGAGTTCGCTGGTTTTTGATGGCGCTAACCTTTTTGTTTTTTCGTTTTAAAATCTTCTTTGTATCAATCCTGATACGTTTGAACATAAAACTTATAAAAAAAAGTCTAATATCACACAAATTTTATAAAAAAAACTAATTAACAAAAACAATTAACAAAAACAATTAACAGTTTGAATAAAAAGCACAGTCTCAATGAGACGAAACATGTGAATTAAATGCTCTTTATGCTCTTTTAAAGAGAATAGAATTTAAGCTTTTTTAGAATTTAAGCTTTTTATGCTTTTTTTAGCTTTTTATGCTTTTTTTAGCTTTTTTTATGCTTTTTATGCTTTTTCCCCAATGAAAAAGCATATTTAGAATAGAACAAATAAATTCTATTCTAAATTTTCTCTTATCTTATCTTTTGTTTCCTTTTGTGATTAAAATCAAGTTTCCTTTTCCTTTCTTGATAAAATTATCATCTGTTTATATTTATTTGTATTTAAATCTTTTTGTAAACAAAATGAACTCATCAAAAAGATCAATTAATCGTTTAAAGCGTAAAAAACAGGAAGTAGATAATGAAAACTACCTGTTCAACCTTCCTGATGTTGAAACCTCAGAAAATGTTCATTCACTCAGTGAAATCTCTTTGCCTTTTTATGAAAGTGGATTAAATGAAAATGTTTTACCTTCATCACCATCATCACAATCATCATCATTATCATCACTTAATGGTCGGCTTATCTTTGACTTGCAGTGGAATAGCTGAAACTCTGTTTTCAAAAAGAGTCAACTGTTCAGCGCTTAAACTTGCAAGTGGGAGAGGTTGAGTCAAAGCCATTCCTTCATGGACTGATTTTTGTTCGGATGAACAACTTTGAATTTTTTCTGGTAAATCATCTGGGACTGGATGATCTTGAATTTTTTCTGGTACATTTTGTGGGTCACAAATTTGTTCAAAAACAATTGTTTCTTGTTGTTCGGAGGTCGATGGCACTGGTTGATTTTTGTCAATGTTGATATTTTGAGTCACTTTTGTTGGTTTATTTCTCTCTTCATACTGAATCCTTTGTCGCTTACGAGCAATCACCAAAATATCTTCATCGTTGTCTGATTCTTGAGATTCATCTGATTCATCTTCATCGATGTCATCAAAAGCACCAGCGTTCAAAGCTGAAATCTTCATGGCTTTAATTTCCTTGACTTTTTTCAATTTTGTCTTTTCTTGAACTTTTAAAGGAGGTTGATCGTCGACTGAAAATGTTGCTGGAGAAGATTCTCT